GCATTGATGGTCTTGCCTACTATGAGTTTTCTCCAATTCCAGAATACCGAATTGTAGTCCTCGATGGCTATGATATAAGCGCTATTGGTTGGCCAAAGGATCATGAAAAGACATTGAAGGCCTTGAATTTTCTTCAGGAAAGGAATCCAAATTCAGACAAAAACAGTCCAAATGGATTAGTGGGGCTTCAGAGAAGATTCCTTATGTTCAATGGAGCAGTTGGGAAAGAACAATTGGAATGGTTGGATCACGTCCTTCAGGATGCAACAAATTCTAACCAGAAAGTTGTGGTATGTTGCCATCTACCTTTAGATCCCGGTGCAGCAACTAAAGAAGCTCTCTTGTGGAATTATGATGAAGTGATGTACGTGATTCACCGATACAATTGCGTAAAGGCGTGTCTAGCTGGACATGACCACAAAGGTGGACATTCAGTCGACTCCCATGGTATACATCATCGGGTACTTGAAGCTGCCTTGGAGTGCCCTCCAGGAACTGATGCTTTTGGATGGGTTAATCTTTTTGATGACAGATTACAACTATCTGGAGCGGATAGAATGGAGAGCCAGGAAATAGTTTTCAGTTGCTAGATGTACCAATGAGTGTAATCTGCTACTTTCGTTGTTCAACATAACCATCATTAGCTTTAGAGGTGTGTACTTTTATTCAGAAAGATACACAAAGATTGGAAATTCTTATTTACTAAGCCCAATTCCATTGCGAAGAAGTTTTTGAAATGTTGTGCCAGTCTTCACTTTTATTTTGCACTCACGCTCGATTTTGTTAATGCATTATATCATCTCGTATTCATTTAATGCTTTATTGTAACTATACCAGAAATCTAATTAACGTGCATTAACTTTAGAGCATTGTGCTTTGAGTTTTGAAGTATAAGCCTAGATTGTTGTCAACTATTCTAGGTTACCCATGTCATATAATATAATACATGATGATTTAATTCATACTGTCGTACTGATGTTAGATAACTAGTACATCTCACCTTTATTAAGAATAATATCCTGGAGTGTTAAGAAATAAAATTCTCAGTTACCTATTATTTTTTTTTATTTTATTTTTTACTAAATGACATTTCCGGTTATCATAGAGGAGCGAATTTCTCAACGGTGACATAAATAGAGTTGATATCTGTCTCCTTCTTACATTTTACTAGCCTTTCCATGTCTCTGCAAGTACATGTGAGGTGTAACTGAATTAAATAAAACACATGTATACTGACAGCATTATTTCATGTCAAAGCTACATATATGTTTATCAATTTGTTGTGGATCCTGCAAATTTAGGTCAATTAAGTAGTTGCTACATCCTCATCATTGACTTTGGGAAAGTGCTATGCATCATCTTATATATCAAGTCAATAATAGATTCATAGATTATGAATTAAGAATCATGAAGCAAGACTGTAAGAGACTGGGTAGAAAACTTAATATGGTTATCACAACTTGTTAATGTAATATATCATTACAAGAAGGTTTATAAGTCCTTGAAAGCATCTGCTCTGTATTAGACAGAACATTTTTACGTTGATTGTTCACATGCAACTGGAGACTTCTAGTTAAATTATAATATATGAAGAAAACACAACTCAATTATTAGAAAGTACTGATAGAACGTAGAGTAGTTTTTGACAAAAGGTACTCAAGAGACTGCATCACTTTGCTTGGGACATCTTGGCTTTTCTTTTTTCCAGGAAGAAGAAACCGAGCAAAGACACGACAGAGAAAGCAGAGAAGCAAATAGAGGCAATGTCAAGCGATACATGGCGTCCACTAATTGCCTGGACATCGAACAAGTTGGTGGTCTTATGAGCATCTGTGGTTTGGCCATAGGCTACCTCATGGTCTGCAGAGTTATAAACATATGCTCGGATAAAATATGTAGCAGTCGGCACATCCCTCTCTATTGTCCAGGTGAAGGTGGTGTTAGAGGAACTGTATGGCTTAGTAACAATATTGTGTTGGCAGGTCTTATCTTTGTTTAAGTCGTCCTTCGTTTTTCTCCAGCCTCGATCCTGTTGGCTAACAGGGGCGTAACAGAGCTTGAGCTTTACTGTCTTGTAGCTTGAATCTGTCCCAGCTGCTAGGGATTTGTTGAATGACCATGTCACAATTATATTGTCTTCCCCAGCTTTCAGTACTGCAATTTAGAAATAATTTTAGATGTGAGTGAACATGTACTTGTGAGTTGTATCTTAATAGACAAGGCCAATAAATATTTTTCTTGAAATAAAGATTACCTTAGACTGATTTTCATGATATTTACATTCTGACATTATTCATATTATTTTTTTTTCTTCAGCTTCCAGCTAAGTATATCTTTTGTCTTGAAAGAACTCGAGGTGATGTGTTATGTCTCCCTACCAAAAGTTCTGTATTTTTTGCTTGATTTCGTCCTGTTATCGATAAATGCTCTCCACTTATGTGATGACTAGATTTAGGGCCCGTTTAGTAGAGTTTCTGCTTTTGCTTATTGTAGAAGAGTTTTATGAAGCATCCTCTAAAAGATCTTCTAGCCGGACAAGACACTTTCAAAAAGTTATCCAAATAGGTTCAAAAGCAATATTTTAGTCTCACAAATTTTTGGTTTTTCAAAAGTCATGTCAAACGGTCTTAAATGCAATCTTAATTAAATTAGAGTACACGTACACGTGAATTTGTTTGTTTGTGTGTGCGCGGGGGATGGTGGAATATTACCTTGTCCGAGTTTTGGTGAAGCGCTGACAATAAGATTTTCCTGAAGAGATGAGAAGGTTACTACACCATAGGAAGTGGCTGCCAAGCATGAAAACAGTATCGAAACGACAAGAAAACCTTGAATTGTCATTGATGAACTCTATGGAGTTCCAAACAATCAGGGGGAAAGATTATGGAAAGTTATGAAATCCCACTGATGATCTGATGTTAAAGATGTGCTAAGATGTCTGATTTTGGCTGCTTTATAAAGAGGAGATGCACATTTCAGCACAGAAATGAAGGGTTATCTTTAAATGTCAGCATCAAAAGTCAACTACTCCCAACTGGCAGGTTTCCTATTTATTTTTATGATCAACAATTAGAATATTTAAGATTAAAATGTTCGACTCTTCCATGATGTTTTTTATATGGTGAATGGCCCGAAGGCATGCTCAAAGGGTTGCTTGATTTTTCAATTATTTCTGATGAATTTGTTTATAAAGTTGACTTTCCTTGTACATTCTTGAATGGACTGGTATATTTTGGAGGTGTTGAAGGATCACAGGTAGAGATTCATTTGTACATTCAATTTGATACTGTATGATTTTTTTATTTTTATTGGCAAAACTTGCCCCCTTGTGCAATGGAAAGAGTAGATAAACAAGATACAAGAGGATTTTTATTTTATATTTTTTTTTCTTTAAAAAAAAAAAGAATTTGCCCAATGGATCATACATAGTCGTCATAGAAATATTAATGGTCCATTTGATAGAACTTCTATTTTTTTATGAAAGAACTACCTCTTGTATATTTTCTTTAGAATTTATTCAATTGTCTAGAACTTATTTTCTTTCCATGTAAGTTTCATACTTTCAATCAAACTCACTCTAAAAGCTCTTCTAATCGGATAAAATATTTTCAAAAAATTATTCAAATATATGCTAAAGCATTTTTTTCGTCCCAAAAGTAGCTTTGGGCTTTTCTAACATTATAAACTTAGTTTGGCAACCAATTTATAAATTGTTTACAAATTCAATTAAAATCGAAAATTAATTTTAGTCACAAATTCATAAGTTATAATTACTATTTATTTATTATGCACACTGTCCTTAAGATCCACTATTATTTTTCTTTAAATTAATTTATAAATTTGCCAAACTAAGTGTAATTTATAATAATTTTGATAAGAAGGACCGACTAGAACTAGATAGTATGTTACTATTTTATTCGTTATACTATCTAGTCCTGTCTAATATCGGTATACAATTACTTCTATTTGAATCGGTTGTATTAGACATTTTACACCAAATTTGACTTGAAATCTCTATACTCTAAGAAGGGTATCTAATATGGAAAGAAGAAACTCATTTTGGAGTATGAAGTGTTCTATACACTATAACTTCATCCTCCTTAAACGATTTTCTTTAAAAGAAACCCAAATCTATTTATTCCAGCAATTTAAAATCGGTCATCTCACCGAGAAAGCTTTAAAAATAAGTATTCTATTTTTTTTTATTTTTTTTGGTACTTTGAGCACATTTGATTTAGCTTTTATTTTATAAACCACTAAATGTGACATGTTTTATTGAACGAAAACAAAGATGGTACATACTTGAGAAATGCTATTCATCCCCACTGGGGTTGCATCCCCAGTCTATGTGGCGTTAATGTGACATTAAATGATAGGTGAAATTAAATAAGTCATTTAATTTCACTTATCATTTAACCAATAATTTACANATAGATTGGGGATGTATCTCCACTGGGGATGAATAGTATTTTTCTACATACTTAGGAGAAAGCCGACAAACCTCTAGCTAAAGGACGGAATTGGTAAGACTATTCTTGCTAGATAAGTTTACAATGATGTATTTATTATGTATCACTTTTATATTCGAGCTTGGGTGATAGTATCGCAAGATAGTAACGTGCAAGAAATCCTACTAGGCATTCTAGATTCCCTAGGAAATTTGACTGGGGAAATGCTTAAAGAGTGCAAAGAACAAGTAGAAGAACAACATTTGTATAGGAATCTAAATTGTAGGAGGTATCTAATTGTAATGGATGATGTATGGGATTCAAGAGTTTGGGATGATGTGAAACGTTCATTTCCAAATGACAAGGATGAGAGTCGAATCATGATGACTACTATGCTAGAGACAGTGGCTGGTTATGAAAATTCTTATTCTCATCGTCACATGCGTTTTCTAAATGACGATGAAAGTTGGAATTTATTCTGCGACAAGGCATTTGGATAACGTTGTTGTCCTATTGAGTTGGAGAAAATCGGAAAGAAGATTGCTCGAAATTGTAAAGGACTTCCACTCGCTATTGTTGTGATTGCAGGCCTCCTCTAAAAGGCTACAAAAACACATTACTGGGCAAATGTTGAAGAAATTTTAAGCTCAGTATAACTTCAAATGAAAGGGCGTTTCCTATATATGGGAATTTGTTCAAAAGATTTTGATATTTTTGTGTCCCTTTCTTGTCAAGTTATGGGTTTCCGAAGGAATACTAAAACCGGTGAGATTTAGAAGTTTGGAGCGCACGAATAGGATCTTATTGATAGAAATCTTATTTTGGTTTGTAGTGCAAGCTCTAACGGATCTTTTCCTGCAGAATTTCACTATCCTGGTATCCCTTAAAAAATTAACTTTAGAACATTGCAACCTTCCCGGGGAAGGCATGATGATTGTTAGTTCGTTACCCAATCTTCAAGTGCTCAAATTGAAATCTTTAGCCTTTACTGGTCGAGAGAGGGAACTAAATGAAGGGAAATTTCTGGAACTAAAATTTCCGCTACTTGAAAAAATTGATCTGGAGCATTGGAAAGCCGATAGTATCCACTTCCCGAGCCTTCAATGCTCTTCATTAAGGAAAATCTTGAGTGGGGAGATCATAAGAAAGACCAAGATTGTGCACTCTCGACCTTCAAACAGCTAAGTTTTGTTGTAGTATTGCAGATTCCTCAACTAACCTTTATTAGTGATGAAGCCCTAAAACCAATTAAGGGAGCAATAATAAGGAAAACGAAAACCAGAAAAAGGCAGAGCAAACTCACAGATTTATAGTGGTTTATTCAATGTGAGAGCTACGTTCATTTGTCATTGTAGACTTGTCACTCTAATAGAGTTAAAGGGTATGAGGTTATCTCATATGATTTGTCATTGTGATTTAGTATCTGCTTCTAAATAACTTGCTGGTATTCTATTAGACA